TATTGCATGTTCATCACATGTACCCCCAAACCTAAAATGCAATAAAAATAAATAAATAAATAAATAAATAAAATAAAATAAAAAAAATAAAAAAAAAATAAAAATTCTGGGCCTGGTGCCATCGCTCACGCCTTTAATCCCAGCACTTTGGGAGGCCCAGGCCAGCTGATCGTTTGAGCTCAGGAGTTCAAGACCAGCCTGGGCAACATGGTGAGATGCTGTCTCTACAAAAATTAACTGGGCGTGGTGGTGTGCACCTGTGGTTCCAGCTACACCGGAAGCAGAGGTGGCTGGATTGCATGAGCCCAGGAGGTGGAGGTTGCAGTGAACCCAGATTACACCATTGCATTTCAGCTTGGGTGACAGAGCAAGACCCTTTCTCTAAAAAGGGAAAATTCTGTACAACTTTCTTATCAAATACATGATTTTCAAAACTTTCTCTTATTTTTTGGATTGTCCTTTCACTTTCTTGGTGGTGTCCTTTGAAACACATGTTTTTAATTTCAATTATGTCTCATTTATCTATTTTTTCTTTTGTTGCTAGTGCATGTGGTGTCATATCAAAGAAATTATTGCCAAATCCAAGATTGTAAAGATTTACTCCTATATTTTCTTCTGTTATATAGTTGTAGCTCTTATGTTTAGATTTTTGGTCCATTTAGAGTCGATTTTTGTATGTACTACAAGGAGGGGATCCAATTTCATTATGTTTACCATTTTTTGGTAAAGATTCTTCCAATTGAATCGTGTTGGCGTACTTGTCAAAAAGTAATTGGATGTAAACGTGATAATTTTTATTGTTTATATGTCTGCCTTACACTAATACCAAGCTGCCTTTATTACAATAGATTTGTAGTAAGTTTTGAAATCAGAAGTTATGAGTCTTCTTTGTCTTTTGGCTATTCTCTGTCTATGGTATTTCCACATGAATTTTTAGGATCAGATTTTACTTCTGCAAAAAAGGCATCTAGGATTTTAGTAGGTAGAATTGCCTTGAACATGCAGAGGAGTTTGGGAAGCATTGCCATATTATCAATATTAAGTCTTATGCTTCATGACTGTGAGATGTCTTTTGGTTTATTTTTGTCTTAATTTCTTTCAACAATATTTTATTATTTTAAGAGTATAAGTTTGTATTTCTTTTGTTAAATTTATTTCTAAGTATTTTATTCTTTTTGATTCTGTTACAAGTTGCATTTTTTTTAGTTTTATTTTTTGTTTGCTTATTACTACTGTGTAGAATACAGCCGATGTTTGTATATTGGCTTTTATCTTGCAATCTTGCCTAACTTGATTACTAGTTCTATAAGTTTTTTAGTGGATTCCTTAGGACTTTTCATATATAAGACTGGGTCATTTGCAAATTGAGGTAGTTTTACTTCTTTCTTTGCAATCTACATTCGTTTTATTTCCTTTTGTGCCTTAACTGCACTGGCTAAAACCTCCAGTGTAATGTTGAATTGAAGTGATGAGAGTGGATTTTCTTGTCTTATTTTTTTAAAAAAATATTAGTTTAATTTTTTTTTCTTTTTTAAAATAAATAGTTGAGGGTCTCACTATGTTGTGCAGTCTGGGCTCCAACTCTTGGGCTTAAGTGATCCTCCGCTCGGTTTCCCAAAGTGTGAGATTACAGGAATGAACCATTGGGCCTGGCCTCTTATCTTGTTCTTGATTTTAGGGGAAAACATTCAGCCCTTCACCTTTAAGTATGATCTGGGTTGTGATTTTAAGTAGATGCCCTTTATTAGGTTGAGAAAGTTGTTTTTATTTTTTTTTAGCTTTTTAAAAATTGATACATAATAGATGTACATGTTTTCAGGGTTCACGTGATAATTCTAAACATTAATATAATCAGCTCAGGGCTGTTGATATACCCATCACCTTAAATATTTACCATTTCTTTATTCTAGGAACATTCAAATTATTCCCTGCTAACTATTTGAAACGTACAGCCTTTTGATGTTAGCTATAGTCACCCTACTGATCTATTGAACACAATTCTTATTTCTTCCATCTAAGTGTATATTTGTACCTGCTAATCCACCTGTCTTCATTTCTCCTCCCCTTACCCTTCCCATGAGTCTGCTCTCTGTCTTCATGATATCTACTTCGTTAGCTCCCATGTATGAGTCAGAATATGTGATATCTGTGTGTCTGTGCTTGGCTTCTTTCACTTAACATAAATGTCCTCTGGTTACATTCATGTTGTTACAAATGACAGGAATTTATTTATTGTCCAGCTAATTTTTTTATGGCTGAATAATATTCTGTTATATTATATAATACATAATATAATATAATACATGTCACATTGCAGTTTTTTTTTTTTTTTTTTTTTTGAGACGGAGTTTTTGCTCTTGTCACCCAGGCTGGAGTGCAATGGTGCGATCTCGGCTCACTGCAACCTCCGCCTCCTGGGTTTTCAGGCAATTCGCCTGCCTCAGCCTCCTGAGTAGCTGGGATCACAGGCACGCGCCACCATGCCCAGCTAATTTTTTGTTTTTTTAGTAGAGACGGGGTTTCACCATGTTGACCAGGTTGGTCTCGATCTCTCGACCTTGTGATCCACCCGCCTCGGCCTCCCAAAGTGCTGGGATTACAGGCTTGAGCCACCGCGCCCGGCCTGCAGTTGTTTTTGAAACAGGGTCTCTGTCTTTTGCCCAGATTGGGGTGCAGTGGCATGATCATAGCTCACTGCAGAGCCTGGAACTCCTGCACTCAAGTGATCTTTCCACCTCAGACTCCCAAGTGTCTGGTACTATAGGTGTGCATCACCATGCCCAGCTAAGTTTTATATTTTTTGGTAGAGACAGGGTCTTACTATGTCACCCAGGGTGGTCTTGAACTTGCAGCCTCAAGTGATCCTCCTGCTTGGCTTCCAAAGTGTTTGGATTTATAGGCATGAGCCGCTGTGGCTGGACACATTTCTTTATCGATTCAACCAGTGATGGACACTTAAGTTGACTCCATATTTCCGCTGTTGTCAATAGTGCTGCAATAAAAATGGGAGCGCATATGTCTCTTTGTTATTGATTTTCTTCTTTCTTGGATATTTACCCAGTTGTAGAATTGCTGGGTCGTAAGGTAGGTTTTTTTTTGTTTTTTGTTTTTTTGAGATGGAGTCTGGCTCTGTTATCCATGCTGGAGGGCAGTGGCGCTATCTCGGCTCACTGGAGCCTCTGCCTCCTGTTTCAAGCAGTTCTCCTGTCTTAGCCTTGTGAGTAGCTGGGAATATAGGTACATGCATGTACCACACCTGGCTAATTTTTGTATTTTTAGTAGAGTAGCTGGGAATACAGGTGTGAATACACCACACCTGGCTAATTTTTGGATCATTAGTGGAGACGAGGTTTCACCATGTTGGCCAGGTTGATCTCAAATTCCTGACCTCAGGTGATCCACCTGCCTCGGCCTTCCAAAGTGCTGAGATTATAGGTGTGAGGCACTGTGACAGGACTTTAGGGTAACTTTTATTGAAAAAAATCCACGTATAAATGGATCCATGCAGTTCAGAACGTTGTTGTTCAAGGGTGAATGTAACTTTGAACTTGTCTGTCACTTTTAATTTAATCTTAAATTCTAATGACAAATTTAATTTTAAATGTATTGGTTTAAGGCGTTACATTACAACTTTTGACACTAATAATAGAAGGCTGCCAGGCATTCCCAAGTTTTACGGCAATATTGTCCTTGAAATTGTATTGAAAAGCGGGGAAAAATAAGTTTAGCCACTATATAGTCTCAGTTACTTGCTTTAAACATTATTTAGTACTTTTGGAAAACAACATGGTTTATGATGGGCTACAGAAAAAGGACAAACTAACTTTTGAAAATGATTCAACAGAAGCTGGAATTAATTAATAAGGAGGTGACTGAATGAATGTGTCAACCAGATGAAATGTGAAATGTGAGTTTTTTAGGTATTTTGTGCAATTCAAGGCTTAGCAGAATGAAAGGTAGTGACAAGTAAAAACTATCTGATATATCAATAACTAATAATGTTGATGATAATTTTGATAGGTGATTTTTATTTTGTGTCAAGTACTGTCCTAACATCTTTACACATGGGCCAAGGATTGGATTGTCAAATCAGACTGACATGAAGTGGAGACCTTGATCAATATTAAGCTTTCATTATAATTTCAAGAATATAAGCAATCAAAAGGCTCAGGAAAAGCAGAGACAGGTCCGGGACATTGAGAGAGGCCCCTGGATCCTTTCTTACTGCAACAGATAAAACTCTGTAGTGCAAAGCAGTAGATGAGGTTCTTAATGAAATATATGAGTTACTAGCAGGGAGTGTTATAGGCTGTGGAACATCTCCATTTTATACCCAGGTAGTTGCAAAGCTCATGCCCTGTGCCCCGTGTTCCACGTCCCATAAACCTGTAGATTCACAGTTTGTTTATCATAGTAATCCTAATTCAGGTGCAGTCTGCAAAAAGTTTTTATGGGTAAGTAGTCTTTTTTTAAATTATTAAGCAAATACCATTAGTATTTTTTGCCAGCTATTGGCATGCTTATAAGGAGGTTAGACCAGATTTTAGAACCTTTTTTTTTTTTTTTTAATGGTGAGAGAGTCTTTCACCCAATAGGAGAAAAACACAGCTTTAACTCTTTCTCCCCAGCAAATTAACTCATTTAAATTCAACTAATTATTTTTTTTTAGTATAAATAAGATAAAATGTATCAGGAAGGAATTTAAAACATTTGAAACATCAGTATCAGTTTCTAAAAAATATTTTATTTTTACTTTGGTTTAGTTTGATTAGTAGGGGTTGGGGAGAGAAATACACTGAGAACTATATAATAAATATAAATATTTTCCTATTACGAATAGATGTTCACAATGGCAATTTATTTTATTAGCTTGTTTTTGTATGTGTCTGCACAGTTCATAGACAGTTCTTTTTTCTGTTTCACATTAGAAGATTTGAGAAATCATATGATTCTTTTATTTTTAAATTATTTCTTCTTTTTCAACCCAACCTTCAAATCAGGATGGAGAGCCGGTTCGCCCAGGAGTAGCCATGACTGATCTTGCCACAGGCTTGTACGCATATGGAGCTATTATGGCTGGATTGATACAAAAATACAAAACTGGGAAAGGACTGTTCATTGATTGTAACCTACTGTCATCCCAGGTAACAATCCAAATAACATTTCAGATAATGTTATAAAAACTTTGTCTGGGTTATACCTTTTCAGATCAAATTCTCTGGTTACATGTATAAAAACAATACAAAAACCAACACAACAATAACAAAAACTCCTTTGCTTTGATGTACTTGATTTCATATTAAAATATGCGGACCATGAAGATTTTCTTATAATGTAGACATCGTTGCTGAACTCAAATTTTCCAGGCTGTTTTTACTACAATGTGTCTGTTGCTTCTTGTGAGACTAGAGATATAGTTGCTTCGCATGTGCTCTATAACTTCTTTTGGCTTGTTTCTTCACCTGTTATGTGCCATGGATCCCTTTGGTAGTCTGGTGAAGTCTAGACCTTTCCCTGCAATTGTGTTTTTGAACACATAAAATGAGGTACTTAGGATTACAAAGGAAGCCAGTTATATTGAAATATATTCAATGGAAAAATCAATGTTGCATCATAAAAATACATGTAATTTTTACTAACACATTAAACCACAATATCTAATAGTGGGTATAACACTATTACAATTTTGAAGTTGTATTGAGTATAAATGGTATTACATGATATCTGTAGTAATAGTAATATGATACAAAGATATGTATAATATTTATTTGTGATCAAGTCATAGGTACTGCTATGGTTTGTCACCTACATTTATAATAGAAGAAAGTGCTAAAGTTTAGTTAGAGGTTGATGAAAATAAAGATATAATTTTTTTTTTTACTCGAGTTGATTAACTCCCAGAAATCTGTCCATAGACCCCAGATTAAGAATTCCTGGTTTCCATAGTTATCGGTTATGTTGTGCTAAATACTTAACTGAGGGGATAAAAGGGTTAACTCACTGTCAAAATGACATTTTGCCTTCTTTTCACTGGATCAGACCCAGATGCTGTACCATATGTGGAAGTTGATTCTGAATAGATAATTTTTCCGTGATAGAAAAAGAAAATATCTGATTTGTGCAAGGAGACATTTTACTGTGGGAAAAACTACTTTCTAGACATAGAGACCCCAGCTGGGAATTTCAGATTTAAACAGCATACATGGGAAAATAGTAAACTTGGAACACAGCTTTGGACATTTTTTCCTCTTAGGCAAAATTAAGGAGGTGTATAGAAATAAAAAACATCAATATGGTTGAAAATGAAATATTATGTATGGGTTTTTATATAATAGTAGCTTTGAGTCACAGTCAGAATTTTAATGTTTCTATAAAAAAGGTAAAAGAGCTCTTTTCAAATGAATGGTCTCACTCCTTAGTAGAGAACTATAGATGTTAGTTATAGGAAGGTGCAGAAAGTGTTTTCTTTCCTAAATTTTAAGCTGCAAGGAACCTGAAGTAGGGTAAGCAACTGAATAAAAGTTGCACACCCAATAGGTATGGAAGCCATGAAGGTTTCATGGGTGTGTGACCTGTGCAGTCACAGGTGGACCTGGGCTTAGTTAAATGTTCTGCTGTCACTGTGTTGAATTTGTTAATAACTTCAACAGGAGGCCCTACAGTTTTGTATTTACACCAGGACTCACAGATTATGTAGCAGGTCCTGGAGCTAGGACTCTACTTAGATCTCCTGATTTTTACCTATACTGCTTTACTATAATTTATAAAGAGTATTGTGTTGTTTAAATGAGTATTGTAGAGTTTAATTCAGTTCTAGCATCTAACTAGTAGTTCACCATGTGAAGGCGTGTATTTCCCTGGGAGTAAGGGTGGGGAAGATGGAATCACCTGCAGGGTTGCTTCAAAGTGAAGGCACAGTGAGTGCAAACTCATGCATATACACACAGCTATATAGTCAGTCCTTTCTCTGTGTGTGTGTGTGTGTGTGTGTGTGTGTGTGTGTGTATGTGTGTGTCTATTTTTTTGTCCATGTTTCTCCCTGAGACTGTCAGTTCTGTGACTGCTGGGACAATGTTTTTGCTTACCATGATATCCTTAATGCCCAGCCCAGCCTTTGTTAAAGATTAGCTTTTCCAATCTTTTGAGATCAATGTGAGAAATACTATACCAATGGGAATGTCTCGTAACCTTTAGGTTTGCCAGGGAAGATGAGAAAAGGTAATAAACCATTAGAATTAGGGTAAGTACTCAATAAACAGCTAATGATGAGATGATTTGCTTTTCGCAAACACAGTAGCAGCAATTTGGCCTGTTGTACTACAGTTAACTCAGATTGCCAAAATATTAGTATATTTGAGTCTCATTAACTATCCATCTTTTTTTTTTTTTTTTTTTTTTTTTTTTTTTTTTTTTTAGGTAGGGTCTTACTCTGTTGCCCAGGCTGCAGTGCAGTGGCACAATCTCAGCTCACTGCAACCTCCAGTTCAAGTGATTCTTCTGCCTCAGCCTCCCAAGTAGCTGGGACTACAGGCATGTGCCAAAACACCTGGCTATTTTTTTTTGTATTTTTTTGGTAGAGACAGGGTTTCACCATGTTGGCTAGGCTGGTCTCGAACTCCTGACCTCGAGTGATCCACCTGCCTCGTCCTCCCAAAATGCTGGGATTACAGGCATGAGCCGCTGTGCCCAGCCAGAGCCGCTGTGCCCAGCAGGAGTTCTTTTTCTTTGTTCGTAAATTCTGTTAGGTGATGGTCTTTTAAGGCAAAGAATATGTCTCTTTATATACTTGCTGCAGCTGCCCCATTCAGAATAGCTTCTGGGCTGTGAGTAGTGGTTAGAGAACTTCAAAAGGCAATTGTAAAAGATAATTTATTCTACAGCTTACCTGACATGCAAGGCACTGCATGGTAAGAACTTTTTCCATTCTCTGGATCTACTGCAACCTTAGCTCTGTTTTACTCTTATCTTTTTGCCTCTGCCTTATTCCTTGTCTCTGGCCTCTGTTTCTTCTCATGTACCCTTGTCTAGCCTGGGCATCTCTTTTCTCCTTTTTTCTCTCTCATCTTTCTTTTCTTTCCTGTTTTCATTTCTCTTCTGTGCTCTCAGCCTTCTTCCTTCTCCCTCCCCTTTTTCTGTCCTTCCATATGTGGAACTAAGGTTGTAGCAGTTTTGGTTTCAGATCTTACATTTTGTTTCCCATGCTGTTGCCCAGGTTGGAATTCAGTGGTGTGATGATAGCTGACTGCAACCTCAAACACCTGGGCTCAAACAATCCTCCTTCCTCAGCCTCCCTAACATCTGGGACTACAGGCATATAGTATTATGCTTGGCTAATTTTTATATTTTCTTTTTGGAGACGGGGGAGATCTGACTATGTCGCCCAGCCTAGTCTCGAACTCTTGGCCTTAAGGGATCTTCCTGCCTCGGCCTCCTAACATGCTGGTATTACAGATGTGAGCCACTGCATCCAGCTGGATCTTAGATTCTTACACCATCTTATTCCAGAAAGTTTCAGAATCTTACAGTAGTTCCTATGAGAGAAAAAGGAAGTTCCCTTTCCTAAAAGTCCCAGAAAACAAGACCATAATTTCGCTGTTTAAATGACGATTCCTAAAGTGATAAATGGGGCCTGAAAGATAGAATACACTGAGTGGCTTACACAATCCCTAGTACTAGAGATCGGGTAAACTCTACCCAGACTGTATGGTTGAAACTGGGGGACAGGTGATTCCTCCAAAGAATGGCATGGTTATTTTCTGGCCAGAAGAGAGGAAAATGGATGCTGGGGAAGCATCCACAAGTATTTACTACCCTAATATATAGGGTTGTTTTTAGAATATAATGCATTAAAGGATGTGAAAAACACTTTGTAAGTTAGAAAGTATTTTGCTGATGACAAGCATTAATTTTACTAGGTTATTGAAAAAAAAACTTCAGTGTTAGTAATGTGCTGAGATTAAAAAGTTGGCTAATAACATAATTTTATCAGAATTATTATAACTTCCTAATAGATAAACCTTGACTGACTTCAATTTGTCTTTCAATTTAAGATAACGCTTATAGAGTCTAGATCCAAAAACCAAACACAACATGATTAAAATCTGCTTTATGTAAATAAGGAGTGCTATTTCTAGATACTTTTCAAAAAAGCCTAACAGGAAACTTCACCTTTTTTTAAATTAAAAAAATATTATTTTTTAAAATATAATCGTTCACCTGCATTAAGCAGGTAATATTTGAACTTAATTCCAGCTGCCTGGAAATTGAATACAATTTCATGCAGTAGTAAAAAACACCCTTTTCTACTCTTTGTGGTTATATTACATAGAATGACAAATGAATAATTATAACATTCAATGTTTGTGGCTAAAAATGAAATTGTTATACTCTTCTTTAAAAGTGATCTAGTGTAAGAAAGACAAATTACACTCGATTTGAATAGTAGCTAATTATTAACTCAGAAATGATTGCCTCAGCCACAACAAAACCATTTCAAGTAGTTCATTGTAGAGACATGACAATTGCCAGGATGTGGTTTGTAGTGGGCACCAAATTTTTTTATAGTTTTAGGGCTATAAACTTTTAACCCTTGTCAAAAATTCTTTTGATTTTTTTTAAAGTCTGAATATGATTTAGATTTTTCCAGTCAAGACAACTAACATCAGCATTTAAACTGTGTTCTTTAGATGATATTGGTAAATAACAAGGAAGTGGGTTTGGATGTGGTTCTACTTATTCTGTTGCCCTGTTCTTCTGTTGTGGCTTATAGAAATATCTTTTGGAAGTTTTAATATCCTTCCTGTACTTAATTGCAACCAGGCTCCCTTAATTACTACTACAATGAGTTAGTTTTTTAGCACTATAATTATTTTCACATATAGAATATTTTGTCATTTTTGATGTCACCATCCTTTATTCACATATGTACATTGGTCATATTATATGAACATATTAGAGAAGATACAGTTTTAATTCTTATAATTTTGATTGATAAACTTTTGACTCTCAAACATGTATAGTTACTGAAAATTCATTGCTTTGTGTCCTTAGATATACCAGTATTTCTGCTTTTTTTTTTTTTTTTAAAACCCTCTATGCCTTTTTTAAAAACAATTTTACTGAGGTGTATATTACATATAAAAAT